GTCTATGAAATCTAAACCTGCGACCAAGATCAAAATGTGGAATTCTAAACCCTCCTTTCCACTTTGTTTCAAGATTCTTCAGCTTACTACCCTTCTGGTTTATCCCATCCACGTGCTGCTCATCTTTCCACCACTCTTGCATCTTCCTGTTTTTCTTCCGACGATTTTTCCTGCCTTCATGCTCCTTCTTCTCAAATCCACTAACAGTATTTTCAAACTTGAATTCTTTTAATCGAGGAGGTTCGTTTGCATCGTCTAATTTATCTAATGGGACCATACGACGCAGTTCTTTTCTTCCAGAAGTACTTCTCTTCTCGTCATCCCAATCTAGATTTGCTGAGGGGCAATCTTGGCTCCCTATCCACTCCGTGACATAATCTTTACTACACAATTCACCACTCCCATCCTGTCTCCACCACCAATCCTTTCCCCATTGTTTTGTACTAGCTATATCATCAATAATCGAGGAGCTATTGCAATTCAGCTCCTTACTATGATCGTTACTACAAAAATCATCATCATAAGGCACAAATTTACAATTCCAATCACCCCATCCAATATCAACACTAGAAACCTCCTTCCCCTTCCCCTTCCCCTTCCTTACCTTAACGACACTCTCACTCACAATATTGGCATTATCATTCAAAGAATTCAAGTTCAAAGCTTTAACATTATAGCATGTTCTGTTATTTTTTGACGAAAATGAAGCTTGTAAAGCAAGAGCAAAATCTACCTCGTGACAACTTTCCACAGGGGTACCATTTGCTGGTGTTTCTGAAGTCACATTCCCAGAAAGCTCTTGACTCTTCCAAAGCTCTTGACTCTTTCCCAAATCTTGACTAAACAAATCCACTCCAAAATCCCCCTCCCCTTTAATCCTTGATAACCCAAAATCTGAAATCTTTGCTCTCAAATCAAAATCAAGCAAAACATTGCTTGGTTTAATATCCCCATGAATCACTGGTGGGTCACATCCACGGTGCAGAAACTCAAGTGCTTTTGCAACATCAAGAATGATACTAATCCTTGTCTCCCAGCAAATACTCAAATGACCATCCCCAAATAACAATTCTTGCAAGCTTTTATTTGGCACATACTCGTAAACAAGTAAGCGTTTATTCTTTTCAACACAGTACCCCAAAAGAATAACCAAGAAAGGTGATCTTAAACCACCAAGAATCTGCAACTCATTCTGAAACTCTCTCTCTGATTGCAAGGAAAGCGTATCGAGCCTCTTAATAGCATATAACTTGCCATCTCTTGCAATGCCTCTAAAGACAGTAGCAGTACCTCCTTTGCCAATAATATTTGCACCATCAAAATCATCAGTGGCAATCTTTAGCTCTTTGTATGAAAACCTTTGGAGCCTTGAAGGAGCGCTAGAGTCAAAAGGGATGGTTCTTGAACGATTCAAAAGTGTGCACCAAAGATGGTAAAGAAAGTAAACAATTGCAAAGATTAGCACCACAGAGGCTGAGATTGTGAGTGTCAAAAACAAGATTCTGGTTTTGGTTAAGAAACTGGGTCTAGGATGGTCAGAACTTGGAGATATGGGTCTTGAAGGCATGGTCTGGTGGTTTGAAATTCTGGGTTTCTAGTGTTAATTAGCTAGCTAGTTTGGTCTCAAGATTTGGTGAAGAAAGCAAACGTGTCGATGGGATACTCGTTTCTTTTTCTTCTTGGGGTGGGGGTGTTTAGTTTTTATTTGCACTTCTGGTTGCAATCTGTATCCAATGTTATAAGTTGCTTTACAGTAGGATAATCAAAGTGAAATGATATTGTTGTTTACAATAATAGTCAATGACATTGATAATAGACTCTTAATTTTTAATTCTAGTGATATTGTTATTCAATGATCATTTTCTTTTTTTTTTAAAATAAGTGACTAGGAGAAGAACCATCATCAATTAGAAAAAGATGGTGGCGCAGGGAGGGTCCCAAGATGCTTTTGACTAAAGAGGAAGTTTAAGAAGACAAAGTCCGAAGCAGCCCGGATAGGATAAAGAAAATGGAGGGAACACGGATTACAGTGACAGTAGGGAGTAATTCTTGTCCTAAGCACTGTATGGAGGCGCGTAGTGTTTATGGTATTGGACTTTGGATCTTGGTGGTTGAGATGCCAAAAGTGGAAGAGATGGTGGAGTGGAGATGCTTTGCTTGCTACTAATGGGTTTCTGGGTTTGATCCTCCGAGAGAAGGATATCGATGTTAGCCAAACTGAACCGCCACTTTCAAACTTGAAATTAATGCAAGAATCTGGATAGTACATGGGAGATAAAGTGTACTTCTGTCCAATCTAGTTTTTCGCGAATCACTGATTCCATCACCAACTGAATTTATCCGTATACTTGTCTAGTTCAGTGTCAGAAAGAAGAAGCAAGGGATCATGTTGCTAAATTGTAATCCAGGGCAACTAGCTAGTAATTCAGAAGAATTATAGGCTTGATCTACTTGTGATAATTTTTTTTTCTTAATCTCTAATAATAAAGTTCTTATGTGTTATTCAGTTAGATCCTTTAAATGTTTTATTGGTGGATCTAGATTTCTATCTATATCTTTGTGTTCATGGATTTTTGTTTTTCCTTCCCTCCCACTAAAAGTTTGGCCTCTCTCTTCTTTTTTTTTTTTTTTTTTTTTGAAGTTTGCTTGCTTTATTGTTGAGCTGTCCTCTCTTCTGAATAAGGGTCATGGTGTTTGTAGCTTCTTGATTGAAAGATATTGATATCGACTGTAGATAAGGATCGTTCATCAACAGAGTTTAGTAATGCGATCTGTTCTTTGTTGATTCACTGTAAACCTATCTATCAATATACGATACTATAACTAGTATGTAAATAAATTAAAAAAAAATGTCTATTCCATGTTAAAATAAAAACCTTTTATAAGTATTAATTTTAGTAAATTAAGTGAAACAGTGGTGGATGAGCTTTTGAACTTTCTAATATTATTATATCAATATTTAAAATATTAAAAGATTAATTTCATTAATAGTTATAATATTAAAAGAAATAGTATTCTATTATAATATTTTCAAGTTTAATAGAAACTATCACTGTAGAGAATATATATATATATATCTAAATAATTTTTTTTTGGTTTTCGCTTTTTATTTTTTAAAAAGTTTATATGACTTAGTTATATCTTAAAGATATTTTTTTTATATGAGACAAATAAATACCTTAAAAATAATATTTTTTATGCTTTTAAACTAGTTTTTTATTTGTTTTTATCTTAAATAATTTTTTTATATAATTATATCCAAAAAATAGTATAAAATATCAACTCAATATTTTTTTAAATCAAATGCACCCAAACACAAAAACAAAGAGTGATTTCATTCCCACCAATTATTTACTTCGATTTGATAATAAGGTGAGCATAGTGATGCATTGGAGTACAATATTTTGATATAAATGAATCATTATTTTCCATTGGAAGAAAACTATCATTGTGAAGAACAACAATTGAAGATGTTAAAACAGTCTCAAATGTGACTTCATTTGTGGAAACGATGACTGTTTTTTCCCCTCCAAAGAGAGAAGGTGGGATATTGGCTCCACTCTCTCTTTCTTTTCTATGAGATCAAAGTCTAAATTTGTTTGAGATGGTTCCAACAAGATCAAAGTCAGAATTCATGCACATTGCTATCCATAAACCAACGAGCATTTTCTTTTTTTCTTTTCTCCTTGAATTCATCACTAGCCCCTTCAATTTTTTTTTTCATATTTTTTCAATGTCCTTTTGATTACTTTTGTTTTTTGAATAATCTATAAAATTACAAATATTTTCTAGTTTTATCCCTTTTTATTTCTTTAATTTTTAAAATTTTATCATTATTTTTTTACTGTTATTTATTTTGTTCAGGATCATTTTTTAGATTGTTTTTTTACAATTTCATCCTCCATAATTTTTTTCTATTAGATTTAATTCTCATCTTTTTTATTGCTATCTCTTTTACTCTAGCAAGTTTTTTAAATTGATTTTTTCTCATGGTTTCATTATTCAAAATCACATTGGTTGGGAATTAAACTTTTAACCCGGATTCAGGATTTTATGAATTGTGAGTTTTAGAGATTTGCTTAAGTTTAAAAGATTTGTTTTTTTTTTTACGCAATAATTTTTTTATCTTTTGTTTTTAGAGTTTTACTTTATTATTTTTTATAATTTACCTTTTATGAGATTAGTCTTGAGTTCATGATCAGAATTATTATTTTTAAAAGTTAAAGTAGGTTGATTTTTTTTTTTAATTCTTGAATTATTTTAATTTCATCATTTAATATTTAATTTATTAAAAATTTATTTCCCTAACTTTTTATTAAATCATTCTAATTATATATTTATGATCATAAAATATTTCAGAGGTTGACCCGTATTGAATACATTAAAAGAAAAAAAGAGGAGGCTAGTTGAGGTTACGGGAGGAATGTTGCTATTGTGATAATGGCGTCAACCGCACACACATAGTTCGCTGTTGTGTGCTGCAGCCGATACTGGGCAAAGGAACATAGATTGTGGTGGAAGGTGGGGTCTGTAGTTTGCTGTTGTGTGCTGTAGCAGATACTGAGCAAAGGAACATGGATTGCGGTGGAAGGTGGGGTCTGGCCACCAACAGGAAGTTGAGATTTCTGATTGAAGACATTGGACACCCTTTTCTTTCCTTATATCCATTGCTGTCTCTCTATTTTTCTCTGTTCTTAGTTCTGATGCCTTCATACATGTCCTGCTTTGCATGGGCGTATATCTAATATATCTCCATAGTACACATCATTTCAATCTCAAAAGAAAAGGCCAAAAACATTACCTGTTGGATTATTTAATGTTTTAATCAATCATAATAGTATTTTATTTAAAATTTATTGTAAATACTTAAAGAGGTTACCATATAAGATTACTGTTCTTAATAAATGTTATTGATTTTTTTTGTTAAACATCATAAATAAAGCGTAACTTTTAAATGAAATGCATTTTCAATATAAAAAAAAAATAGAAATTATTGAATGTTAAGCAAACAAACTAGCCAATTATTTAATTATGTGTGCTCTGAATATCATATATGGATCTTGGGATAATTTTTATTACAATGGTGTCAGCGCCCTTATGCATGCTTTAGGACCAAATCATTGCTTATAACGGAAAGACACAGGAATTATGGTTCATAATTAAGGATGTAGAACACAGACCAATGGAGATAATCGACCCCATCTAGTAGCTATTATAAGACATCAAGCTCAGTTCATATCTTCTTCACAACGTGCCATGCATGTATAATTCACCAGATGGATCCCTTGAAGAACAACACGCCATGCGAGGTGCTGCGGCACACACTAGAAACAGAGATACGAGAGAGCCCCCATTAGGATTATTAATCTTCAATCAAGATAAGACATTATTCATTACTATATCATCAACAAGGTTTATTAGGCGAATTTATTATTCAAATCAAGTTTCCAAATTGACCAATCAACATTGAAAGAAGGCTTCTGTGTAATGTCAAAGTTTGGTGAATATAATGTCAAAAATGAATTGAAAAGGAAATGCTAGAACAAGGAAACAATAGATAAAATGAATTGAAAAGGAAATGCTAGAACAGAAAGGATGTTTCAAGGAAACAATAGATAGTAGTTTGTTTCCCATTATTGTCGTGAAAACAAAAATATTCATGTTTTACTATGTTTTATAGTATTGCAAATGTCCTAACAGGCACACAGAATTTGTTACCTTGCTAGTTACGAAGCCTCCTTTGCAATCTAGCCATGATTAACAGCATTGTCTTCACGTGCAGCCAATCTTCAAAATGGTTCATGAGACGGAAGAAGGCATGCCTCCATGGCCTATAGAGCAATAAAGTGCCGCAGACTGCCCAAAATCCAGTGGCAAATCCAATCCCCATGCTCAGATAGAATCCTCTGCTTATAAATCCATCCTCATCTTGGATATCAACATTTTTGCTGCCTTGACTGATTGATGGATCATGAGCTTGTTCTGCTGCACACTCGTTTGAAAGAGGTTTCCCACAAAGTTCTGGATTTGCCATGAATGAAGTATTGTCAAAGCTCTGGAGTTGAGTGCTTAATGGAATTTTTCCTGACAAGTTGTTATACGAGACATTCAGGCGACTGAGAAAATTCATATCGCGAAGGCCGTCAGGAAGTCCACCAGAAAGTTGATTTGTAGACAAATCAAGAGATTCTAATGATCTCATGAGGCCTATACTGGGAGGAATGATCCCGGTCAATCAATTATTTGATAAATTCAGCGAAACCAAGCCCTCAAGTTTCGCTATCCCATCAGGAATTTCTCCAATTAAGTTATTGCTGGAAAGATCCATGATCTTCACTTGTTCGAGAGTTTTTCCATATTCAAGCTCCATTCCTTTCAATACAACTCTAACACTATCATGATATAAAATAACAAAAAAAGGTAAAGTATGGTTGCTGGAATGACCAATGAATTCGTAAGTGCTCCCATTCTTTGACATGGCAGAGAAATTGCTGAAGCAATGCGGTATATCATCAGATATATTATTGTGGGAGAGATCCAATATTTGAACATGAGCTAGATGGCAGAGGACCAAGGGTAAGGTTCCATCAAGGTAATTTGATCTTAGACGAAGAACAACCAAACTCGAAAGATTTTCTCCAATCCAAGATGGAATTTTGCCAGATAATCTGTTCTCCCCGAGGTCAAGAATTTTCAATCGCGTACAATTGGCTAGTGACGGAGGCAACTCTCCAGACAAACTGTTGTTTCTCAAGTTTAATGTCTGGATAAAAACCACAGAGCCAAGTGAGGCAGGTATCCTCCCTGAAAAATTATTGCTAGCCAAATTAAGGATGTCCAGTTCCTTACACATCATCCAACAGTCAGGTATTTCTCCTGTGAGACAATTGTCAGAAAGGTCAAGGTAAACTAATCTCTCACAAGCAATTGAACAAAGGTTGGATATAGTTCCTGAAAACAAGTTTCTGGAAAGGTTCAATATTGTTGCATTAAGTGGAAGTGGTAAGGAACCGTGCAAGCAGTTGGAACTCATATCGACCGTAGCAGAATCTCCTTCGACTGATGATAATTTATGGGCTTCACCAGTGATTTGATTGCAAGAGATGTTCAAATAATTCAATTTCAAAGCAAGTTTCCAAAACCAACTACTAATGTCATCTGCAATTCCAGCATTGGAGATGTCCAGGTGGGAAATTCTTCTCTGTGTTCGTAGCCATTGAGGAAAACTAGGCCCCGACTTGCAAGATCTCATGATTAAAACATCAAGTTGGAAAGGAGGAGCCCAGTTTAAGCTCAAGTTAAAAACAAGTGCATTTGAAGAAATATCCAAGTACCTTAATTTGATCAGGTTCAAAAGGTTGATCTCTGAGATTGTTCCATTCATGAAATTTGAGGAGATGTCCAGGTGGGAAATTCTTCTCTGCGTTCGTAGCCATTGAGGAAAACTAGGCCCCAGCTTGCAAGATCTCATAATTAAGGTTTCAAGTTGGAAAGGAGGAGTCCAGTTTAAGCTCAAGTTAAAAACAAATGCATTTGAAGAAATATCCAAGTAAGTTAATTTGGTCAGGTTCAAAAGGCTAATCTCTGAGATTGTTCCATTCATGAAATTTGAGGAGATGTCCAAGTATTCAAGATGAGAAAGTAGCTGGATATTTTCGATCCAACTCCCATTTAATTTATTCTCGGAAAGATCTAATGTACTTATGAAAGAAAGATTCTTCATATCAGGCACCTCTCCTACCAAACTATTCCAAGACAAATCCTGTTGGGAATTCCGACCGGTAATGTACTGATATTTGCTCATAGGAGACCAAGCACACTGACACAATATTTAACGTGGTTCGGCAAAACCGCCTACATCCACGGAAGAAGCCATTGCATTATGTAGGGAGAGTACAAGATTTACAACAATAGAGGAGGAGGAATCATCCCTTCTTTCACAACTCTCAACCTCACTCTATTTTTCTCTTTTTAGTGCTGTAATGGTAGCTCACTCTCTCCTATATTTCTCACATCTTTGGCTCTTTTCTTTCTCTCATTTTGCTCTCTCACATATGCCTCTATTTATAGGCATATGTGAAGGTTCTTCTTGCTTTGTTGTCAATATTGGTGGCCACTAACTCTAACTCATTCAACAATGGTGACTACCAATAGTCAATGGTCAATGGTTGGTGCTTTACATGAAATGGCAACCAACCTAATAAATCCAATGATTCCAATCTACCAAGATTCCCCAAGGCTCTTGGTATTTCACCTTCAAAATGATTCTCAGAAAGATCAAGACTTTCAAGATTAATCATGGCCCCAAAGCTTTTGGGATTTTTCCTTAGAAATTCATTATAACAAAGTTTGAGATGAACAAGGCTATTGTTGAAGTCAAACAACCAGGGTAAGATCGAAGATGTAAGGCTGTTTTGAGAAAGATCAATGTCTGCAAGTGATGCAGGGGAATAATTGGAATGAAATAATGGTGGAGAAATCACCAAAGAGAGCCCACAATCACTCAAATACAAGTTGTGCAAATAAGGGAGGCTATTGATTGCTTGAAACCAATCTGTAGTTCCACTCAAGTCTGTGGAGCTCAAATCAAGATGTTTCAAAGCAGGAAGACGAGAAAGCCAGCTAAGACTTTCAACTTTGTGAAAATTATTGTTGCTGAGATCAAGAAAAACCAACCTGGTAAGATTCCCTAGCTGATGAGGAATAGTTCCGCTAAGATCACAATCGGACATCTCGAGATGCATCAAGTGTTTTAATGAACCAATGAATTGGGGGATGGAGGTTGCTCTAACCATACTCATAGTCAAGTATGCCAAGTGTTTCAGCTCAAGCAAGGGAGAGCTTATATCCCATTTGAATTGCATGGAATAGTTTTTTTCCAAGGTAGAATCATTTAACTGGAGTTTCTGCTGATTAAGCTGAAGTGCATAAACATGACCGGTTCTGTTGTTGCACCGAACTCCTGTCCAATTGCAGCAATCATCACTAGTCCCCCATGAAGAAAGCTGATCGTTCTTATCCACGAGGTCATCTTTCAACTTAAGTAGTGCTTGTTTCTCCCTTTCCATGCACATGACTTTAACGTCTACCACATTGGAATTGGTTTTGTATGCATTTGTCGTCATGATGCACACAGTAAGCCAAGAAAGAAAGACAAGAAATGTAAGGTGTGTCCCAGCCATAGTTTGATTGATCAGCAAGTGTTCTGAATCAAGATGAAAGATCAAACTACCTCATTGAGGTTAATTAAGTAGTAAATGCTTTAGCTTGTGGAAAACTGTTCCTAGTCAATGGTGGTCAGTACTACACAACAACCAAGGTAATCATAATGCTTTAGCTTCCACTCAGTCGTATAAAATGAAGATAAAAGGACTGCCCTTTTAATTCTCTACATATGAAGCTTCATAAATCCCACCATAAGCCAACAATTGTCTTAAAATGTTTTTATATTAATCTTGTTTTGGCCGAAGGCAAAGCCCCTTCTGTTCTTTCCATGAAAAGCAAAATAATGTTCTCATAAAAACATGGACTGAATTTTTCTTTTTCATTTCGCTATTGCTTGTCAAAGTCGTGCACTTCCTCGTGAAGATCATGGTGCTGCTTTTTGGATATTGCGCGTTCCTAGTTTCTTGTTAATACTGATCAAGCATGGATATGTGTTTTCACGTTAAGATTACTTAATCAATTTGTCCTCTAATGAAGGATTAATTTCTCCAAGCGGTTTCTAAAACCACTCTTTAAATCTTTATTTCCCAACATATTTTCCAACAGTATATCATTTTCATGAAAAAAACACACTATCAAATGAAAAATCTCAGAAAAAGATCTAAAATACAAATTCATGTTAGAACCAACGAATAAGAGCCTAAATAAATGCTACATATATGGAGCAAAATAAAAGAGTAAAGAAAACTTAATTAAAATAATAAATAATTTGAAGCAAAGTTTTTTTTTAAAAAAAAAGAAATTAATTTTTAAGAGTAAATAATATTGAAAAAAGGAAAAAACTAAAATATTTTAAGCCTAAATTAAAATGAAAAATAAACCTTAAAAAAAGAAATACAACGAATTTGGTGCTAATTCACATTTGGGTTCTAGATGCCTGTGTTTTCACAGCACATTTTGACCTGGTCTCTGTACAGATCATCTATATATTCATGGTCTGTGATAGTCTGTAATATTTAAGCTAGATTGACCTAAATATTATTAAAGGAAATTTACAGATAGATTGGCCAACCTGTATGATTTTCCCTTGCACTTCCTTCCTAATTAATAAAGATGAGAATGTAAAAAAAAAAAAAAAAGATGAGAATGTCGTATAATTTTTTATATGAAATTTAGCCTTTAGAGGGTACATAAATTCGAGAATATGTGAAGTTATATGACCTTATTTGTTTAAAAAGAGAAAGCAATTTTAATAGTTATTGAATTTGTTTGATTTTTATAATTGAATATTTTATTTTTAATTTTATTTAAATAGGTATTTAATATTTTTTTTCATACACTTAAAAATCTATTTGTTTTTTTGTTTCAAAATTGGTTTTAAAAAATAAAAAAAATATTTTAATATATTTTTTAATAAAAAACTCTCGCTAAAGCTAATATATTTTTAAAAAATAATCACTGCTATGTAATTAGATGCCATATAGTAAAAGTCTCGCTAAAGCTTGTTAGGATAGATCATGAAGAACTTTTTGTATTATATTATATATAGTATACTGATGAGATTGGTTATAGTTTTTTGTTTTTTTTTTTCCAGAAAGATATCACTAGTATTGAGATTTGATCAATTTGTTTCTAAAGCTTAATTATAACATTCTTTTAGTGTATAACGTCAGAGGAATAAGATTTTTGTCCAAATCTCGATACATGTCATGTAGTTCAATTGAGTGGCATGGCTTGGATCATCACCTTAATTTATTCAGAATCTTTTTGTGCAACCGTTATACCTGCCTAGCTCGAACATTGCCAAAAATCTTCTATAACCATCTTTCCTTGTGCTCTAAATTTCTTTCTGCCTCTCTCTTCGGAAAATTTTCTTTTTCAAAGTTTCTTCTTGGCTCATTGATTTGTGTAATTGAAGCTACGAGGATCGGTTGCCTACGTAAGCTCATTGATCTTTCCAAAATTTTCTTTTAGATGAAAATGTAGCTGTGTTTCAATATTTCCTCTATCTTTTCTAAACATTATGTATGCATCTTTAGATCTGATATACATGTTTCTGTCAGGAAATCCTTTTCTTTTGCTAATAGAACCATTAATGTCTGAGAGAGAAAAAAGAAAAGGGTTTCTATAAGATTTGGAATATATCTAGGTTTTTTCATCTCATTATTGCCATCATGGAAGGGATGATATCTTAGGGTTAAGTCCTCGCCAGTGAGCCGTAAGTCCTTCTTTAAACCTAAACAAAATCATACTCTTTGCAAGAAAAGAAAAGGATATCCATTAGAAAGGAGTGGCTTGTGAAGAGGAGAAGATGGAAGACCTAACATAATAACAATGTTGTTGTTAACTTTCATCAATTTGTGTTACCTTCCCAGCACCATAGAAAATTGATAATTTCTCCATGATGGTACGTGCATATACATTTTGGGTATTTTGCCGCATTTATTTCTTCAAAATTTTCCTATTCAAGTTAAGAGAGACTGCATTTTTTTTTCATTAAATGTTTTGAGTATTTCAATTTCATAAAGATTTCCATGGTAGAGTATCTTAAACATCTATGTTTTGTCTGTGCAGGAGTGTCTATCGATTGCTGTTAGATCATGGTAGCCAGTAACTTGCCTTGAAAGGTATCTATGTTCCTTATTCTGCAAAATGTTTGATTGTGGTTACAAGTCACAATACATTGGTGGCCAGAAGGAAAAATTTGTGAGGTACATCAGATCCTCTTATGTTCATCTTAATGATATGTGCTTTAACCTGAATTATCTAACTCCATGTTGGCATATTTTGGAACTTGTAGGTTGGATGATTTTGATTCGTTATCCGTGACTTCTAGCAATAAAGGAATGAAGAAACTGAGATTTAATGTAGACGGTTTCAACATAACTGGACATGAGAAGAAAAATGCATCAAAATCTTTTAGACATGGGATGAAAAAAGGATCAAAAGGATTGGTAAAAATTGGACGATCACTTAAAACTGGAGTCGCTCGTGCAGTATTTCTAGAGGACCTTAAGGTGTCTGAGAAGTTGATTTTTGACCCTCAACACAAATCTCTTCTGTTATGGAATAGGCTTTTGGTCATGTCATGCATTCTATCAGTATCCATTGATCCTTTGTTTTTTTACCTCCCTGTCTTCAACTATCAAATGACTTGTCTGGGTATGGATACAAAGTTAGCAGCAGCAATTACAACTATGAGGACAGCACTTGATGTTTTCTATCTGGTTCGCATTGCTCTTCAGTTTCGAACAGCCTATGTTGCACCATCATCACGGGTTTTCGGACGAGGTGAACTTGTGATTGATCCGGCACAGATAGCCTCCCGGTATTTAAGCCGTTATTTTATTGTTGATTTTCTCTCTGTGCTACCTCTGCCACAGGTTTGAGAAATGCTTCTCATCTTTCTGGCTTATTTCATTCTTAAATTTTAGCCCTGCATTGTTTTTTTCTGTTATGAACAAGTGTTTTTGATTCTATATGGTAGCTGTATACATACTATATTTATCTTCTTCTGCAGATAGTGGTATGGAAATATCTTACTAATAAAAAGAAGGGCTCGGAGGTGTTAGCTACGAAGCAGGCATTGCTAATTATTGTTTTTTCTCAATACATCCCAAGGTTTGGTCGCTTTTTTCCTTTGACTTCAGACCTGAAAAAGAGTGCTGGTTCCTTTGCTGAGAGTGCTTTAGCCGGTGCTGCGTACTATCTACTTTGGTACTTGCTTGCAAGTCACGTAAGTAATTAATGTTATGCAGCTAGGTCTTACTAGTATGTTTGATCCTGGTATATTTGGGTAGGAGTGGCTGCTTTGTGTTTTACACCAACGTTGGTCAAAGTTCTTATCCCTGGAGAAATCAAGATAATCACCCCAACAAAGTTTTGGTTTGTTTCTGTGATGTTCTTAACTTGAATATATAAATGTACCGCAAGGAAAATGACTCAAAATCCTAAATGTTGCGCGATGGATTGATGAACTTTCGACATGAACAGACTATCTACTGATCTTAGAATCTACATTTCTTAGTTTTCTCTTAAACCAAATATTACTAAGATACATTAAAGATGCCTGTGGAGCAAATTATCAAAGTTATCTGACAAGACTACGGCCCACCTTCACAGATAGCAGGGGCTTTCTGGTATTTGCTAGCCATTGAACGTAAAGGCACTTGCTGGAGAGAAGCTTGCAGGCTAAGTAGGAAATGTAACGTAGACTTCTTGTTCTGTGGCAATAAATTACTACCAGGTTACCATGATTGGCGAAGGATAAGTGATAAGGTTCTTGGAAACAAATGTGATGTCGACAAAGATGATAATTCACGATTTAATTATGGAATCTATTTCCAGGCCATGTCCTCAGACATTGTGTCATCCAGGAAGTTTGTCTCCAAATTCTTTTACTGTTTATGGTGGGGCCTGCAAAATTTGAGGTAACTTGTGTAATTGATCTTTATCTTCATAATACAAGAGGAGATATGAGAACATCTCTTTTTTTCATTTTCCAAAAAATTTCAAGGTATCATGATTCTGCAAAAAGCTTTCCTGTTCACTTTATCAAAATCTAAGTCTAGTCCTCTGAGCTATACATGCACAAAGTATCAAAAGAACATGAATTTCAATACCTAAGGTCTGTGGAAACTTTCCAATCCAATAGTGGCAGTCACTGTTGGAGAGCCTCTTTTTTTTTATCAACTACTCCCTTTTTTGAGCTATGATCAAGTAGGTCTAGCAGTGAAAGGGGCTTGTCTCCTTCTACTGCACCTGGGTTCAAGCCCTAGCGTGCACACCTGTCACCCCCGTGGTGCCTTACATGCCTACTGGGTTTGCAGGGTATTCAGTGGGCCGTAGGGATTAGTCGTGGTACGCGCAAGTTAGCCCGGACACCCCAGTAAATCAAAAAAAAAAAAAAAGTATTTTACGAAGACTAAACTTTTCTGAGCACATAAATCTGTCACACTTGTTCAGAGTTTGAACAATCATTTACTTCTATCTGTTATCTGCGCGTTCACGTTTGGATTCTTTGGTGTTAAAAAGAGAATCCAGAAATTATTTCTGTTCTTGGAGTTTTATTTACTCAAGGCATTTGCTGTTTTACCTTCCACAGTACTCTTGGCCAGGGTCTCCAAACAAGCACCTATCCTTTGGAAGTTATCTTTTCCATACTGTTAGCTATTTCTGGGCTTATCCTCTTTGCACTTCTGATTGGAAATATGCAGGTATGTTAAGATTTTCACTTCTATGGATGTTCATAAATGACTGGTTACAGATGCCTTTTTAATTAATTTGATGAATGCCGAGGCAACTCATGTCGTCGAATTATTTGTGTTACCACCTTATTGTGGACCGTGGTTTTTGATGATCTAACTAGTATAATTGATATTGATCCAATTTACTCATCGATCAGAAGAAGCAGCATTGCATTATTATACTGATATTTGAGCTGTCTTGTGGTTGAAACAGACCTACCTTCAGTCTCTTAGTGTTCGTTTAGAGGAGATGAGGATCAAAAGGCGTGATTCTGAACAGTGGATGCATCATCGCTTGCTTCCACATGATCTTAGAGAGCGAGTTAGGAAATATGATCAGTACAAATGGTTCGAAACTCGTGGAGTGGACGAAGAGAATTTGGTCCAGAGTCTACCGAAAGATCTCAGAAGGGATATCAAGAGGCATCTCTGTCTGAATTTGGTCAGAAGAGTAAGTATAGTTTTATTCTTTAGTTTTATCATTGATACTCCTTTGGCTTGCTTTTTTCCAATATTTTTGCCGAAATATGTCTTCGGACATGGTGGTTATGCAGGTCCCTCTATTTGCCAATATGGATGAAAGATTGTTGGATGCCATTTGCGAGAGACTGAAGCCAAGTTTGTATACAGAGGAGACTTACATAGTCCGTGAAGGGGATCCTGTTGACAGGATGCTTTTCATCATTCGCGGACGCTTAGAGAGTGTAACTACTGATGGCGGAAGGAGTGGGTTTTTCAACCGAGGTGTATTGAAAGAAGGGGACTTTTGCGGTGAGGAGCTTCTGACTTGGGCACTAGACCCTAAATCTCTTGGCAATTTGCCATTATCAACTAGAACAGTGGGGGCATTGACTGAGGTGGAGGCTTTTGCCTTGGAAGCTGAAGAGCTGAAGGTTGTTGCATCTCAATTTAGGCGTCTTCATAGTAGGCAGGTCCAACACACCTTCCGTTTCTACTCTCATCAATGGAGGACTTGGGCTTCCTGCTTTATCCAAACTGCTTGGCGACGGTATTCCAGGAGGAAAGCAGCAGAACTTCGCCGCCTAGAAGAAGAGGAGGAGGATGTAGACTATGATGAGGAAGATGAAGATGATGGCGATGATGATGATGAAAGGGCATTGGTTGGAGAACTTGGCTCTGCCAGACTACGTGCAACAATCTTCGCTTCTCGCTTTGCTGCCAATGCTCTTCGTGGACACAAGCTTCGCAGCTCGAATTCCAGAGGCCTGAAGAAGCTGCAGAAGCCCCCAGAACCGGACTTCAATGAAGAGTGATTGGTAAAATAGGGATGGTTCTATCTGTCTGAATATTCTTATATATATTGGTTAATTGGAAAGTAGAGAGCATCATTTCAACCAAACTGTGTTTTGTTTTATATTGTTTAGCTGTGTCCTACAAAACTAGTTGTGGTGGGCCTTAAATAAGGTTAGGTTTATTAACAAGAGGATTCCTTTGTCTCTTGAATTTGTCCATCCAAAATTTATCGAAGGTCACATACAGAAGAAAACAATATCATTTGAGCTTGATGAAGGATGAGATTGAACACCATGTGATGTAATTTGACTGTGAACTCTCTACAAGAATTGGATCCAAGTTTCAACCATGAGAAAAATAGGAAAACGAAAATCCGTGAACAAATTCAACAGCTCATATCCTTGCCCAGATCCAGTAATAATTTTTTAGTTGCGAGTCTTTTAGTTGATTTCTACTGCTTTTCTTACAGGGGCAATGATTCAGAAATCAGGAGTTATGTAAAACTCTGGACCAAAGCAAGATGAATCTCATGATTCTTGCAATATTTTATGTGCCTCCATCAAATTAGGAATACTTCAGTTCAAGCCGATGCGTTAACCAGTAATGGGCTCGGTTGAACATTGCAAGTTACAATCAAGTCGCCAAAAAATTCTTGCAATATTTTATGTGCCTCCATCATAATTAGGAATACTTCAGTTCAAGCCAATGCGTTAACCAGTAATGGGCTCGGTTGAGCATTGCAAGTTACAATCAAGTCGCCAAAAGCAGTACTCTCAAAATTCAATTTCTTTTCTTTCCATGCTTTCTGCAACCCAGCAGAGAATGGAAAATAACCGAGGTTCCTGTACTTTCTTTACAATAGCCGTGCGTTTGTGGCCTATTCACTTTATCAGAGGATACATGAATAAAATTTAGCAAAAAAAAAAAAAAGATTAAAAGCAGGAATGCAATTTATAGAATAGGAGAGGAAGCAAGAAGGAACAAATAAATCTCCCAACTCCTGAAACTTGACTATTTCAGGTAAAACTTTTCTGCTCGACTTTCAGTAAGTTTCTGGCGGTGCTTTTCTTGCTGCTGCTAACTCAACTACGCCAATCAGAAGATGTTTCAAGTTCAACATCTTCTTCCCACCAAGTGGCAGACTGCAATACCAATCACGCAATTGACATCATGAAATTTCATGTTCCTTTTTTTTATATATTTTTTTTGGGGGGAGGGGCTGAAAATTAAACTACGGAAACAGATTTTAGGGTACAGATGGAATGAGGGATATAGTACTGTAATAAATTTTGGAAATTACCTTAATTGTGAAGGAAAAAATATTCAGCAGGGACACGTACAAAGTGCTGCCAGTGTATGTGTATGTATGTCCGCATATATTTATGCATGTTTGTTTTTGCCAAGTATAAAAGTTGAATAGGGGAATTGTGAATTGGAAAAACTACTCAACTACACAAATAAAATTAGTCAGAGAAAATAGGCAATTTAACTTCATAAGTTCATTTCCGTCTTTATGTTTTTCTATTATCAACACAATCTCAAGTTTTTTGTCATGCATCTAATGGAATTCCATCCCTTGTGATCGTGTTGATAGCAGTCCCAGGGATCAATTCAAAAGCGTTTACAGGCTTATTAGAATAGCAATGCAGAACAGAGAGGAACTACTTGAATGGATAATTACCTTGTAGCCTCTGCGAAGAAATTCTAGTGAGGTTCCTTGTTCTTCCTGCAGTCCAAGGACCCTCAACAATTCTTCTTTTGTCTGAAGCATATAAAATAGCCATCCAAAGTGAATAGAACTATTTGTAACAAAAACAAATAATATAACAAGCTATTGTTAGCTAAGGGAAGCAAGTCCAGCTTGTAAGGTGAAACAAATACATACCTCACCAAGTGTGAAGCGCGTTGCACTCTCTGCTACACAAGCATAAGAACCATCTGCTTGTTTAAGCATCACCTGCCAAGGCCCTGTACATATTCTGAGTAGGATAAGAGACTGAACAAACTATTCAACCCAGGATCAGGTAGAAACAGTATTGATATTGATGGAAATCAAATAATTAATTGTAGAAAAGAACCATCATCAGTTACTTCCTAGAAAACATAAAGGTAGAAGGTGTCTTGAAAATAAGAGAAGTCAGGTTAGTTTGGAGGATGCAATTGAAGATTAGACCATTTGTTACATGAAAAATGATCACATTAAATCATGGCTTAGATACATAGCATTTCTAGTTACGTCGTTCATTTTATAATCGACTTAGGTACAACATGGCTTAGATACATAGCATTTCTAGTTATGTCGTTCATTTTATAATCAACTTAAAACTAAGCATATGATTCTGTTTAGGGATTAGGATGAGGTAAACTATGTTCAAATATATGTGTGGAATATAGCATGCCCCCAAAAGCAATCATCCGTGAACCATCTGTTCAAGATTAGTATTGTCAACCTATTGTGCCAGTAGAATCTAAAAAATAGCCTGAAAAGAAGCACCACAGCAGAGCTGTTATGCCAAGATGGCAGGACAACAGTCTTTTCCAAATTAATTATACCAAGTTTTAGCCATAAGATTTTACAATAAAATACCTAACCAAGGTCAGAGGTTGGTTCTAAGAGTCTTGATTTAGCAATTTCATCATCCTGTCAATCCTCTCAAAAATATAGGCCTCTATGAAACCATCCAAACAGGTAACAGCGGGTTATGGGTTAAAACCTAAAAGAAAATTCCAATCTCAAAAGAAAAATGAAATTGGATCAAGATTTCTGCCATGACTTAGAGAAATTTAATTCCATACCAGGGTATTGGCGAAATAATGCTCCACTGTAATTTACGATATAAGGTGCCACTCCTATTGTCTTACATCATTAAGAACAAACTGTATCAAAAACCATATTTCATAAAACAGATGGCAGGAAACAGGTTGACATCAATGAATGAAAAGAACCTTTGAGTACTCTCTGATTCGAATATAAAACACTGGAATGAATTGAGAAAGAAATCGATAGTGCAAATCTTTGGTTGGAAATCCCAGAAGACCCAAGTCAGCACTGGAAAGAGGAGGAAGCTTTCATTCAACCAAGAGTAATTTCAGTGATAAGATAATAGGTATACAAAGTAAATCCACAAAAACCATACCGCAATGTGTCAAGTTCAAGATTGAATAGAAGTGTTGGGGTTGACATTGCAAATTTTTCCTGCACATTCCCATCAATCACAGCAGGTGGCATAACTTCTGCAATTTCAGATGCATGCAAAGAGAAGTGCAGGTATGATGAAAGAGATATGCAAGTATGACACTAGCCAGGGTTATTGTCCAATTGAGGTGTTTTTATATATATATTTTTTTGGGGGGGAGGGGCTGAAAATTCAACTACGGAAACAGATTTTAGGGTACAGATGGAATGAGGGATATAGTACTGTAATAAATTTTGGAAATTACCTTAAATGTGAAGGAAAAAATATTCAGCAGGGACACGTACAAAGTGCTGCCAGAGTATGTGTATGTATGTCCGCATATATTTATGCATGTTTGTTTTTGCCAAGTATAAAAGTTGAATAGGGGAATTGTGAATTGGAAAAACTACTCAACTACACAAATAAAATTAGTCAGAGAAAATAGGCAATTTAACTTCATAAGTTCATTTCCATCATTATGTTTTTCTATTATCAACACAATCTCAATTTTTTTGTCATGCATCTAATGGAATTCCATCCCTTGTGATCGTGTTGATAGCAGTCCCAGGGATCAATTCAAAACCATTTACAGGCTTATTAGAATAGCAATGCAGAACAGAGAGGAACTACTTGGATGGATAATTACCTTGTAGCCTCTGCGAAGAAATTCTAGTGAGGTTCCTTGTTCTTCCTGCAGTCCAAGGACCCTCAACAATTCTTCTTTTGTCTGAAGCATATAAAATAGCCATCCAAAGTGAATAGAACTATTTGTAACTAAAACAAAATAATATAACAAGCTATTGTTAGCTAAGGGAAGCAAGTCCAGCTTGTAAGGTGAAACAAATACATACCTCACCAAGTGTGAAGCGCGTTGCACTCTCTGCTACACAAGCATAAGAACCATCTGCTTGTTTAAGCATCACCTGCCAAGGCCCTGTACATATTCTGAGTAGGATAAGAGACACGGAACAAACTATTCAACCCAGGATCAGGTAGAAACAGTATTGATATTGATCGAAATCAAATAATTAATTGTAGAAAAGAACCATCATCAGTTACTACCTAGAAAACATAAAGGTAGAAGGTGTCTTGACAATAAGAGAAGTCAGGCTAGTTTGGAGGAAGCAATTGAAGACTAGACCATTTGTTACATGAAAAATGATCACATTAAATCATGGCTTAGATACATAGCATTTCTAGTTACGTCGTTCATTTTATAATCGACTTAGGTACAACAACTTAAAACTAAGCATATGATTCTGTTTAGGGATTAGGATGAGGTAAACTATGTTCAAATATATATGTGGAATATAGCATGCCCCTAAAAGCAATCATCCGCGAACCATCAGTTCAAGATTAGTATCGTCAACTTATTGTGCCAGTAGAATCTAAAAAATAGCCTGAAAAGAAGCACCAAAGCAGAGCTGTTAGGCCAAGATGGCAGGACAACAGTCTTTTCCAAATTAATTATACCAAGTTTTAGCCATGAGATTTTACAATAAAATACCTAATCAAAGTCAGAGGTTGGTTCTAAGAGTCTTGATTTAGCAATTTCATCATTCTGTCAATCCTCTAAAAAATATAGGCCTCTATGAAACCATCCAAACAGGTAACTGCAGGTTATGGGTTAAAACCTAAAAGAAAATTCCAATCTCAAAAGAAAAATGAAATTGGATCGAGATTTCTGCCATGACTTAGAGAAATTTAATTCCATACCAGGGTATTGGCGAAATAATGCTCCACTGTAATTTACGATATAAGGTGCCACTCCTATTGTCTTACATCATTAAGAACAAACTGTATCAAAAACCACATTTCATAAAACAGATGGCAGGAAACAGGTTGACATCAATGAATGAAAAGAACCTTTGAGTACTCTCTGATTCGAATATAAAACACTGGAATGAATTGAGAAAGAAATCGATAGTGCAAATCTTTGGTTGGAAATCCCAGAAGACCCAGGTCAGCACTGAAAAGAGGAGGAAGCTTTTATTCAACCAAGAGTAATTTCAGTGATAAGATAATAGGTATACAAAGTAAATCCACAAAAACTATACCGCAATGTGTCAAGTTCAAGATTGAATAGAAGTGTTGGGGTTGACATTGCAAATTTTTCCTGCACATTCCCATCAATCACAGCAGGTGGCATAACTTCTGCAATTTCAGATGCATGCAAAGAGAAGTGCAGGTATGATGAAAGAGATATGCAAGTATGACACTAGCCAGAGTTATTGTCCAATTGAGGTGCTCACAACTTCAGGATTTTATACGACCAAAGAATTTTCATGTGAACTATAACTAAAATTAGTGACTCTAAGAGAGTAACATTGGAGCGAGTGGTTAAAGACATCAAATAGTTCACTACATACTTGATATCCAGAGATGCAAATGCATTGAAATGATTCTTTCTTTTTTTTTGATGAATTAGATCCTACAATTTTAGAGTGCTTATGTTGGAATGGAATGGAAGTACCCAGATAAACATGAATGGTATTACTAGAATAAACAAACATGTCCGCATCTGTGCTGTCATTATTTTCTGCATGGATTGATCAACATTATATTAAAACCAATGAATTTATACAGATTACTTAATCAGAAAACCAACAAAAAGATGTGCCAGACCCTGTGAAAGAGAAAGAGTGAAATGATCAACATTGAAAAAATAAAAAAATTGCAACCAGTATTTCCTTGCTAAGGATACAGGAGGGGGGAAATGTGCATGATCACTTGCAAGTTTCATATATAACACCTATCTTCTGAATTCATTAGATTACTAAATTGATTTTCAAATTCCAACGTAATGTACATCATGTCATCATATCAATATCTAAAACTTTTCTCAAGCTTGTGTAACCTCAGGTAAATTAAAGGTCGGATGAGCAGCTATCTAATGTTTGCAAATACAGAACAAATCAATGAAGAGGATTCAAATTTGCGAGATCACAGCTGTATGCTTATGAAGCTACGGGAAAGGGAAGAAGTAGTAAAAAGTATGCAGGCATGCCAGCTCAGATGGCAACAGTGAGACTAAAATTGAAATAAAGGCTAGGATCCATGATTGGTCAAGGTTTTTCAAGATAAACCTTACCACATACTTCTCTATAACAGAAAGTTCACGTGTACTGCAGTTATAGTGAGACTAAAATTGAAATAAAAGCTAGGATCCATGATTGGTCAAGGTTTTTCAAGATAAACCTTACCACATACTTCTCTATAACAGAAAGTTCACGTGTGCTGCAGTTAATAAATACATAGAGTGATGGTGGCTCATTGGACTGCCAACGACCTGCAAAAAAAAGGACCGAGAAGAATGTTAAGTTCAGATTTTCCACTTTTTCTTCATTTTTTCTAAGATATTTGAGAAGGGAAATGAGAAGAGAATATCACAGTAAATTATAACAATATAAATGCATACAATTGCTCTACAGGGGCAACCAATGTTCCTCTATTCATGACCATAATATGCAGTCATAAGTAAACTAAAAAAACAAACCACATCATATGATAAGCAAATAAATGAGAGAGATAGAAATCATTATTTAAAGGAAAAATTGCAATAGCACACAAGTTTTTCCAAAAAAAAACAACAAACCAGTACAATTGTTATATGATCACACTAATTATATTCAACAACAAAACAGTACGGTTGTTATATGATCACACTAATTATATTCACCTCTAATGTTGTAGAAGCTTAAATGCTCTATTTATTATGGTAAAAGGTATGTTCAGTAGCATTTTAAAGAAAACACCTAGACCTCTTGTCATGCATATGCTGCATGCAGATTGAGTTAGGTTGTTGTTCAAATATAGACTTCTACATTGGTTTAAAATTTCTAGAACTAACCTTCACTGTCATCTTCAAAATCAAAATCCAAGGTATTCCTCACAGACTTGAAAAATGTGGTGACGGGACCACTCGGAATATCATCAAGGGAACCTATGGTTATACCATCAATCTGAAAGAAATAAACAATGAGGTAAAGTCCATATAAGAATTGATGAATGTCGAAAGTCAAGCTTCTTTAGTTTCAGAAGTGTTTCCCTGAATCAGGTTACAGATTGAACTAAGAAAATAAACTACGTTTGACTAGAGAAAGAACTCAAAACTCAATTTGTGTTCTATATCATCTTTTAAGTGCAAGGAAGATCAATCTTTCTGCTAATCGAGGTGTATTGAACTCATAATTCATTAGATACTTTTTATGAATGCCAACTAAGTATTGTAAGTTATAAATTGATTGTATTTTTTTTACTGCTTTGTATGTTAGCTTAAGTTATAAATTGACTGTTTTTTTTTTTTACTGCTTTGTATGTTAGCTTAACTCCTGAACCACATCCCACAATCAAATTCATTTTAGAACCAAAAGGCTGAAGGAGTTTCTAATTAGAAGGTAAAAGCCAAAGGCCTTTGCTAAGAACAGACCTCAAGCCAACCATCTATGATTACTCAGAATAAGAAGTTAACCTCAAATTAGAATGTTACCGAGTCAAGAGCTGTCTTGAAAATCCGAGAAGCCCTTAGCATTTCTGGCTTATCAGGAAACACCTGGGAGTGAAAACACCATGTTCAGCTCTTCTTTATTTATGTGGAAGTGGATAATTTAATAGATGACAATCACATCTTACAATGCAAGCTCTGGTTTCTCTTTTCTCTTGCAGCTTCCTTATAACAGCCAAGGCAAGTTGAATGTTGGCATCAATGAACTCATCTGAAGATCCCTTCACATAGTCAGAAATTTGAAATTATAAAATTTTCATGTTTACTATTTTCTTGTCTTACCTAGGAGGCAAATCAAACCATCCTCAAAGAAAAATAACAAATATTCTGGTATTGTACACCTTATAAATGATAACACCAATATTGGATAAGGAAACAATATATCTTAGGACTACAAATGCCCACAAGAATTCCAAGACTATACAAAGATTTGAAAAGCCAAATACGTATCAATGAATAAATATGGCATGAAAAATGAACACCCATGTGAAATGATACACAAACAACTGGAAAAAAAAAACATTAACACGAGCATTAGAAATCACCGGAATCATTCATTGACACAACGATGGAACTCAAGAGCCAAATTTCATACCTTGTAAGAAGAGATGTTGCTAGGCAAGGGCCTGAGATGCAAACCAAGGGTGAAAAGCACTTAGAAAATAAGTCATGGAATGGAAATCCACAGAAATGAAACAGTTAAGAGAAACAAACGGCAGAAGGTATCCGGCAACGATGGTACAACATTGCTTCAGGACCCATTTACATTAAAAACAATAAGCGAGGCGTAAGACAATCCATGATTGATTTTGTAACATCAATGCCAAATTCTCAAACTCCTAAACTCCACTTAAGTCAACTAATCCTTAGCCTCGAACTTGTTCAAATCTCCTTTTCAGGAAAATTATCATCCTTGGGTCAAATTTTTTGTTAACTTTGTTGGCCCTAAATCTTTTTTACTTGTTCACACTGGGAAAGCACTTCATTGAATATAAATTTGAAACTTTAAGCACTTCCTTTCTCAACTAAACTACATTTCACATGGAACATGTTTCTTTTATAATTAAAAAAACAAAAACAAGACGTAAGACTAGAAATGAACACATGATATCTCTGAAAAAAAGTGAACTTTTTCCTTCTGCATTGAAAGGAATCTACTTTCATGATGTGGAGTGCAAGTTACGAGATGGATATCGCTAAAACAAAAATTCCTAGCCAAATAAGCAAATAGGCACCTAAAAAACCGTGAAACAAAAAATTCATTGAAGCTGTAAACAGAAAAATCAAGATACGAGAGGAAATGGGCTTACGGGAAATCGATTTCCAGGCGGATTTTTCCATCTTGAAGAGAAAAGGAAAGAGAATTGGCAGCATCAGTGACAAGAACTTCATAAGACTTAGGCTTGTAAACTGCAACTCCACTCCTGGGGTCATAACTTTGAGTTGTTTGTGACTTTTGTTGTTTGTTGGTGTTGGCGCATTGGATTTTCGTGGTGTAAGAGAGTTTAGAGAGAGTTGGAGACGGAGAGCGGAGTGGAGTGGAGGAGACGACTGAAATAGAGGAACGAGTGAGAGAAGAGAGGGAAGAGGTCATTAGTGGCATGGCCATGGCCATGGCCGGTTTCAGTTGGTAAAGAGATGTCGTGACTTGTGAGAGACGTTCGGCTCCTTGCTATATGGATATGTTGACGGACCTTACCCACACAAATATTGAGTTATTTTATACGCTATGTCTTTCATATATCATATACGGGTTTTTAAATAAGAAACTGATTAAGCATAAATAGTGGTGAAACTAGGTCACTTCATGCTGTGATAGCGGTCGAATAGAAAAAAAAAAATGTTTATAAAAAAAATGCTCGAATTATAGTAAAAACTTTTATATTATTATTAAAATTATTTCAAGGTTAAAATTAAAACTCTCATCTTAATTATAAGTTTTTTTAATTTAATTAAAACTCTCAGCCTAATTACATGTTTTTTAATTTATTTTTATTCTATAATATAAATAAAAACATTTACAAATCCAATTATCAATATAATATCAGAATGTTTAGTAAATTATAATCCTTATTTTCTAAAGACAAATTTATTAGGGTTTTTAAAGCAAATTTAAAATAAAATATTTAAATAAATTTATAATATTTTTAAATAAACAAAAATACATGTTTTTTATTTTTATAGCCCCACACACACACGATTAAAAGGCCCAGCACACCAAGGCTTTTAGAAATAAAACATGTGTTTACACGGTTAAACCTTGTTTATTTCATTAAAAATTAACTATTTTTTTAAAATATATATATTTAAAAATATGATAATGATTATTTTTTAAAGTGTTTTTGATTTCAAAACATATTAAAATAATATTTTATTATTATTTTTAAAAAATATTTTTAACATTAATACATCAAAATAATTTAAAAACATAAAAAAATATTAATTTAAAATAAAAAAATAAAAAAAAATTTAAAAATATTTTCAAAATACAATACCAAAAAACAAGTAAACCTTGTGTTGTTTGTCGCATGTATAACTTATAGTTTGCTTTTTAAAATTCAACCATTATAAAGATAGTTGAAAAAAATTAAAAAAAAATTATTCTTAACTAAAAATTTATTTTTCAATTATATTTATATCATAAAATATTTAAAAACCTAAATAAACTCGTTTTTAACATCCTATAACCCAAAAGTGAGTAAACAACCTAAATCAATAAAACTTCTAAAGTCCAAATCGATCATTTAAGGTAAAACTATATAAAACTTTATAATTGTTAAATCTAATTTGAAAGGTCAATTTAAAAAACTTCAGATTTGTATAGCATTAGATTTTTATTTTAATCGGACAAATTATTAACTCATCAAAAAGCTAATTTTTTAGTAGTTATATTGAACTCACCAAACTAAATCTAAATCTAATTAGGTTAATGTGGAAGAAAAAAACATCAAAAGTTGTAAATTAATAAAAATAATTTACTTAATAACCTAACAACATAAACTATTTTCTAGATTTTTCTAGATTAATCCCGATCCAATCTAACATGCTTCTCCTTCCAAGAACGTTTTTTTACTTTGATGTGCGCTTGTCATCCTGTTACAGTTAATGGTTTGAAGAGGATGGAAATGGATAAAGTATAAGGGTCACATTGACAAATTAAAACAATGAGGGGCTAGATAAGTAAAATTAAAATAGTTGAGGGACTAGT